ATTTCACAAAGCGAAGCATTTTGCATGTGTTCCATGCAACCTACTGTTCAGCTCTAACATTGAACAGTCGATTTTAGGGGAAAAATCGATAATACAAACTTATAGTTATGCTGTCTGAAACCCTGCGTAACTGTCAATAATGTGATAACAACAAACTGGGTCGTGTTTATGTTTTTATTTGACACAAGTTATCTGTTGAAATTTCCGAAAGATCAGCAAACTGAAAATGAACAATCGGACTGATTCAGAGCATGCTACCTTCGTGTTATCGAATATCTGGGTTAATGTGTTGCGGGAAACAACGACATTTCTGTTTGTAGTCGTTCGTGTGTTGATGTAATAGTCTTAGCATTTGGACTGTTTATATTCCTCATACTTCTATTACACTGTTTCGTTTAGAAAGCATTGCTACTCGATGTTTGAGGATCACATCAAAGGTAACATGGACGTGTACAAGAAAAGCGGGGTTTTTTGCAATAAACCGACGTTCCGGAAGACGGCATATGCGTTGAAACGATTGATTGATGATGGTAACTGAGTCAAACTGGTGCACAAGAGTAAGCCGTTTTACAAGATTTGGACCAAGATTAAAATACTGTGCCGCAAATTGGTAATCACTTTATGGGAACATGATTTCGGCATTAGAATGCTATCACTGGAAATTGGGATGAAAACAATCAAACGCAACAGCAGCTTGAGAGAAGATTTATTAAAAATACATTCCGTTTAATCATTTCAATGTCCGTGGTTATATTTTAATTAGGCAACAAGAATTGATGTCGGTAGTTTGGATATATAACCACCGATTTGAACTCTCGGCTTGGATATTTTGCGGAACATAAATAAGCAGCCAATGGTTTCATTCCGTGCACGGATTTCTTGGACTCAGTAGTGCTACCTGATTTGGTGGATTTGTACAAATTGATCATTCTGTTTCATTTATTTTATTTATTCTGCAATCAACCATTCAAATGACAATCTAATAATTGAAAACCTGTGTGTTGGCATTGGTGGCGTTTGCCAACCGCTTTGATTCCCAAGCGTTGAAATGAGTTACCTTTTTTGAATGAATCAACTCATCATTTCAGTTACCAATGATCACTTGAAAACATATTCAGCCACCCAAACCGTTACAGTTTGCAGAAGTAATTCCACACTTGTCTATTACATCTGAATACCGTGAACGATTACCTTGAAATTTAAATTATATTAGAGCACTTCTGAATATTGAATAATTATAAGCAAAATAAAACGCATATATTAATTTCATTTAATGAAAACCATCGACGTGTTGTTATTAGTCATTGACAAAAATGACTGCTTTCAATCACGATAGATGAATAGGAAGATACTAGTGACAACGGCATGATCATCTAGAAAGATTGTTATCCAGTTTTTCATTCGGCCTATCTCAAGTGAGAAGCAACTAGCGCAATGTGATGTGAATCAGTGATCAGCAGCTTCTTATAAGGAACAAAATCTACTCCCGGTGAATATTCATTAGTATTCCAATAGCTTTCCCATCAATACTTCTGCAAATATTAGTAAACTGTTTGTAGACATAAAAGCTATAATTGTAGTTGATTTTTATTATGGTTCACCTGAAACATCCGTTCATTTCTATAACATAGCACCTCCTTGAACACAATCAACAATTAACCATTGCAATATGCTGTTAAAAGACTCTTTACAAATACAGGCAAGCTTTTGTTTACTCCAATTTAAAGACCCATACACCGTTTCAATCTAAATGTGCCGTTTGAACGCAATTTCAATTTTCAGGACTTCACGGTATCCTAATTCACCGAGCTAACTAGTAACGCGAAAAGCTGATTGAAGCTCCGGTTCACTTTTCCAAATACAAGTTGATATATAATAATTGATGTAAGGTACTTTTATATAACAAAATGGATTCCAATAAAAGGTCGAAGTTGTTTCCAGCATCACGTGGTTTGGAAGAAACACGCATCCGATTATTACGAATGGAAATACAAACTCTCATGTATGAAGAATGATTATTATTTCATTGATGTGCACGTTCCTTATTTAGGTGGGTTTATAAAACAGAAGTTATCCAGGGCACTTCTAGCTAAATCTGAACATTCGGTTTACAGGTGAACTACCACTTCCCAATTCGGTTTTGTTTTATTTTCTGTAACAGAACCCGCAAGTTCCGCAATCTCACAAATGTAATAAACCTGAAAAATGTGCGGAATGTTTCACCAAATCAAATCAATCACAGCTGAGTGCCTGCAAATCATTTATGCAGTGCTTTCGGGTAATATATCAGCATTTCATCACTGTTCAAAAGTAATTTTGTGAGATAGGCTATTGGTTGAAATACCTAGCAGGAAACTTGTAGATGTTCATTATCAATGCATTCTCTGCCATTCGCTCAAACTGATTGCAACAAACGTTTCCACCGTGAACTTCCACAAAAAATCAGTTACATACAACCCAAAACGTATAACTGGAGGATTACATGTTAAAGTTAGCCATTTTATCTAACACATTGTAACGAGCATGGGGTTTACCAGTTAGTCTTCACAACACACTTATGTATTGAATAAAAGGTGCTGTCTTTGTTTTGTTCAAATTGTTGCAGAAGATGTATATAATGCATTTCTTACACAATTGTGAAACTTTGATTTATTGAATTTCAGGATTTCAGCCAATTTCATGGTATAGTTATTGCTCAAAAAGTGAGTGAAAAATAAATAAACCTTCAATCTGCCAAACAACAATTTGAATAAATTGTGTGAATAAAATTATGCTATATGTAAATCCGTATAGTACGAACAGTATTCTCCATCTCGTTTGCTGCTAATCATCAGTGTTCGTGAATACCAGAAAATCTCAAACGAGTAACATTTCGGCAGATAGTGGTTATCGTGCTTCGAGTTATTCTGGTCTCAATTTGCAGTCCAATGAATAGAATCCACCAGTATACACAAACAGTTTGCAATACAGTAACAGCAAATCGTTTTCACTGTAATGAATTTAAATTCTTATTGGAATAACACATCAAATGAGCGTGAAATGAAGGACCACAAAAAGTCTTTTGAACTCACCAACATAAATGAGAAAGATTCAACTTAATAGTGATTTTAATCTTCCCGTCCCATAAATACCACTGGCACAGTTAGACTACCTATATTTGTAGCGATTTCATTGGCCGACCGAAGACCAGCAACCAATAGGGTTAGAGGCGGGCACATGAAAACATTAGCTCTCAATAACCCGAAGGGAAATTTTCGAAAGTGAGAAGTAGAAAGTAGTTAAAAGCTTACTCCAAAAGTTTTCAATGGAGAACATACGCATTCACTGTGAACTGGACTATTCTTTAGCAAGAGATTTGCTATAAGTGCACATTTTTGCTTTTCCTCCCAGCATCAAATCGGTTCATCAAAAACTTACCCGAAACGATCAGTCAAAATCTCAAATATATAAAGTTCTTTCTTCCAATAAAAAATATTAGGGATTGTTCCAGCAACCCACCTAATTAGATTCATCCATACCTGTAACTTCGTTGTTTCTCAGAAAAAATTGGGCATATTTTCCTCAGCTCTGTTGGTTAGCATTCTTTAGCGTTTGTTTTAACTAGGAGCATATTTTTCAGATTGTTGATGGCATATATTCCAGTAATAACCAATGTGACCGTCCAATACAAAAATATTCGAATTTAATCCAATAGCACGCTGTTCATATATATGCTTTGAAATCTCTGAAGTTGGACAGATTACACAATCGCTGATGCATTTATCACATCTTGTCTGAATTCGAAAAAGGTATTTACTGCGGACACATGGTGTTATAGAATTTATCTGGGATAAATTTGGTTGCCCATCAAATTCAGGTCAGCTGCTCTCGCCAGTTATGAACAGTACTGCATATACCCGGCTGTTTAGTACTTGTTTCAGCCGATTCGGGCTCGAGGAAACCCTTTCGAGTTCCACAGATGACGTGGGGACGAGCCATGAAGACATAAACAGAGTGATTTGGTACAGTGGGTATATTGCGCCCTCCAGATTAGGATCCAAGAAACTATGCAACTGGTTAGTTGGAGACACTGAATAATACGGCAACGACCAACAGCATTTGTGTTCTTG